CTCAAAGCGACATCGTCAAGCCCGCCACGCGCTCGAAGGCCGTGCCGATCATCCGTCCGGACAACACGCGCTCGCAGACTCCCGAGACTGAAGGCCGTGAGGACCACGAGGACGAGTCTGGCCGACCCAAGCAAGCCGACGGTCGCGAAAAGCGAGCTCGCCGTGATCGCGCTGACGGTGATGATGTTCCTAAATTCGCACTTCAGCCCGTGCTTGCGTCGCAGCCTTTGGCAGAAGTCAGACAGCCCAACGCTAGCAAGCAAGAGCCTCAAGTCGAAAGGGAGGCCGTCGCAGAAGACAAGGAGAACCTGTCGCCCGTACGTGAGCAGATCAAGGCCAAGTCGAAGAGCCCCGAGCCTCTGTCGCAGCCAACGGAAGAGGTCATCATGGAGCCTATCTCGCCTGCACCAGAGAGCGATCTAGGTGCAGACGACGATACACCTCACGCGAGCGATGTGCCTACGCCAACCACCGAGGAGCCCGAGCCACTGGGCAACAAGCACTCTCACAAGAGCACGCTTTCTGCCAACGCCAAGCCCTTCGAGTTCCGACCGCAGTTCAACAGTGCTGGCTACGACTTCGGCTTCCACGTTACGAAGCCGTCTCAAGTTGAAGATCCCGAGAAGTCTCAAGTGTCTCCACCGAGATACACAAGCAGAAGCCCAGCAACTACGTACAGGCCTAGCGACGATGGCTCGTTCAAGACTGCTATGGAATCAGGCAGGCACAAGGGCTACCCTGAAAGCGAAAGTGCTGATTTCGACCAACTTGGTGATGCTTCCTTTAACGACATTGATGCTGTCATGAAGCATATGGATGGTGAGGGCTCGGACTTTGGCGTCGAGCGCGACGAAGCCTCTTGGGACCAGTCTTCCCCACAGAGAACGCCAAACGTGTTTGAGCGCAATGACCTGCAACCCAACTTCAAGATGCGCAGCGACGCCCCCAGCCCCAGCCCCCGTCGGGGATTCTTCCCGGGACGGCCGATGCAGGGTTCTGCAACATCGGTGCAGGATCCGTTTGACGATGAGCGGGCTGCGCTCCCATACGACTCGCCTGTGCGCCACATGAACAATGCTGACGCCGGACCCATGAGCGATTGGGACGAAGGTCTTCTTACTGAAGACGAATCTAAGGTCCAGACACGCAGTGGCTTTTTCGACAAGCATGTTGATGACCTCATGGGCCGTCTCCTGCAGGACCGTCTTGGCCCGCTAGAGCAAAACCTGCAAGGTATCCAAGAGGCACTTGCAATGATGTCGCAACGTCCGGGACGCGGCCGCCGTAGCATGTCGACTAGCGCACGCCTGGACAGCGATGCCGACGACGAGGATGACGAAGCAGAGACCGACGTTGACTACCGTAACCGATCTCGTGGAAAGGACAGGAAGTTGGAGAAGATCCGATCCATCGTCCAGGACGCGCTTGAGATGCACCAATCACAGATCACATCTATTCCGGTGCCCGTTCCCGAGCCAATGATCCCAGAGAAGATCCGGGAGATCGTCACCGATGCGCTTGCGCAACACCAGCCACCTCTACAACCTGTCGAACCTGTTCCTGCTGCTCAGATCCGCGACATTGTCCAAGATGCAATTGCTTCTACCACGATTGCATCCTGGACTGAGGCTCTCAAGCCTGACGACGTCCGTTCTATCCTTGCTGACATGCTCGCAACCCATCTTCCTAAGCCCGTGGAATCGGTCAAGCCTGATGACATCCGGTCCATCGTGTTGGAAGCGTTCGAGACGCACGCTCCTCAGCCAATGCCACCCCCAGTGCCTGAGCAGATCTGGCCTGACGACCTGAAGGCAATTGTCACCGAAGCCCTTGCGTCACAACAAACGCCAGCTGTGGAGCAGTTGCAAGCGGAGACCATTCGTTCCATCGTCGCTGAAGCGCTCGCATCACACCAACCTTCAGCTCCCAGTGCGCCATCCGCCGAGAATGTACAGCCCGATATGATCCGCTCTATTGTTGCCGAGGCATTGGCAAACCAGAAGCCTGCCGCCACTCTCGAGGCTCCCGTCGATATTCCTCAGCCACAGGTTGATATGTCCGAGATCTACCAGGTCATCGGTAGCCTCAAGGCTTCTATTGCGCAGACCACTAGCCACCATCTTCAGGCTGAGGAAGTTCGTGAGCTTGTTGAGGAAGCCCTCAAGCGTCACGGCGACGAGGTTGCCGAGCGTGAGAACTCCAAGGCCGTCCAGGAGAGGGATGTTCGTATCGCGGACCTTGAGGAAATGCTCAAGGAAGCCACGCTTCGATTCAACGAGGAAGCTGAGGCCCGCCAGGCCCTCGAGGCTCGTGAAGCGGACTCTGCGCGCCTGCTCAAGGTCACCGAGGAAGAACTCACGCTTCTCCAGCAGACTTCCCGTGATGACGAACACAAGATTGGTACATTGACAGAGGAGCGAGATGACCTCCGCCGCAGCTTGAACTCATACCAGGCGGATGCAGCCGACATGCGCGATAGACTCGCCACTCTCGATATTGAGAACGAGCAGCTCAAGCTTACAAACATCGCCCTGGAAAGCTCGGAGGAGGACCTCAAGAAGAGGCTCGATTCAGTCACCGCGGAGAACGAGGCACTCAACTTTACGCTTGAGGAACACCGTATTTCCGCCAACAAGTGGCGTGGTGACCTTCAGCACGCTCACGAGGAAGGAGAGCAGCTGCGCAAAGCTATCGGAGAGGCGCGCTTCCAGGCTGAGGAGGCGACCCGAGTACGCGAGTCGATGCGCACCAAGCTCGAGAAGCTACAGCAAGATATGGTCGCCGCTTCACAGCAGGTCGCATCTGAGCGTGCGCAATGGCAAAAGAACGAGGAGGCCTCCGCAACCAAGTACGAGGTTCTCAGCGCACGCATTGAGGCTGAAGGTCGCACAAGAGAGCGTCTGGAGAGGGAGCTCGAGCGGTTGGAGACCCAGGAACGTGAGGGTATGAGACTCAGGATTCATCTCGAGCAAACCCAGAAGCACAACGCCAGACTTGAAGAGACCATTGAAGAGCTGAGGAGGGAATCTCTGGAGCACCAGAAGAACGCCCAGCGCTACGAGCGTGACATGCGCGAGGCTAGGGATGCTGCGCACGTTGAGATCCGCCGCACCCGCGTGCTCATGGAGGCCGATGTTGACGCAGCTAACAACCAAGTCAACATCGTTCGCCACGAGCTTGAGAGCGAGATCGCTCGTGTCCGCGCTGAGCTTGACCAGGTTCGCCTGGATGCTGATACAGCCAAGGAGAAGCACGAACTGGATCTGGAGGCCGCTTCCGACCTCAAGAAGCAAGCCGTACAGGAAGCGATCGAGAACAACAGACACAGCCTGCAGGAGCAGCAGCGCACTTTCGAACGTCAACTTGAGCACGTGCAGCATGAGCATGCTCGCGCTCTTGAATTCGCTCGCGAAGACAAGGATCGTGCCGATGCTTTCCACAACGACAAGCTTGCGCTCGCCGACTCCAAGCTCGACCACTTCAAGGACAAGATTGCGCTGCTGGAAGAGAAGCTTCAGGTTGCAAAGGAAGCTGCCAACGCCGCTGTTGCAGCAGCATCCAAGTCTCCCACGTCTACCTCTTCGTTCGCTCCTAGCGGCGCAGAGAAGATCTCACCCCAAGCGCTGCGCGAGTCTATTGGCGTTCTCCAGGAGCAGCTACAGGAGCGTGAAGGACGTATCGAAGCTCTTGAGCGCCAGCTTGAAGATGTCGACACTGAGGCCCCAGCCAAGTTGAAGGAACGCGACACCGAGATCAACTGGCTCCGTGAGCTACTTGGTGTACGTGTTGACGACCTGAACGACCTCATCAACTCTCTTGCTCAGCCAACCTTCGACCGCGAGACTGTTCGTGATGCCGCAATCCGCATCCGCACCAACTTGCAGATGGAGCAAAGTGAGAAGGAGCGACTCATCTCGGGCGGACAAAAGTCTCTTCCAACCCTGAGCTCGCTCTCGAACTTCGCTTCACCCAAGGCAGTTCAACTCGCTGCTGCCATCGGTAACTGGCGCAAGGGCCGTGGCGAGGCTACCTCCGCTCTCGCAGGCACTTCAACCACCACGCGAACCCAAACGCCCTCCCGTGCGCAGCCTCACTCCGCACAGTCCTTCCTCTCCGGCCTCATGACACCACCAACCTCCAACGCGCGCCGCGGATCTGAACTCTCATCCTCATCGCAGCGACCCCAGCCCCTGCGCACAAACTCGAACAGTTCGCGCGCGTCAACCGAAGCCGGTTTCCCCGCCCTGGGCAAGCAGCCCCGCACACCACCTCTGATGCGCAAGCAAGCCTACGACCAAGACGCCGAAATCGAGCCTTTCAGCGAGAGCGGCTTCTACGACGATGAAAGCACTGTTGATGGCGAACTCACGCCACTAGCGTTGAACTTTGGCCGGGAACTACAACAACGGTAGATTCTGCGACCATGACAAAACAAACAAGAACGACGAAACTGCAAAACCAACAACCGTTTCCTTTGTTAAAGATGTTTTTCCTTTTGCGTTGCTTTACCGCTCGCTCTGTACGAGCGTTTTCTGTCGCTGCCTTATCATGGGTTCTGCGCCTGTTTACCTACCTTAATGCTTGCTTGTTCTGCTTGCTCGCGTTTTTCTTTACTGTCGTTTTACAGCACAGCACAGCGACTTAGGTTGGCTATTGGAATATATACCCCCGCAAGACCGTTTTTTCGAAGTTATAGCTCAAATTGTATACAACACACAACAGATTTCTCCTGGTTATATAGCATTTTCTTATGTATGTTTGGGGAATGAACGGGATGGGGATACTGGGCGGAGGAAAGGAAGGTTGCGCGATTTGGGATTTGGAAGTAGTTGGATAGCAGATTGGGTAATATATACTGTTCTTTTTGAAAATTGACGTGTGTTTGAGTGGAGCTTCGAATGACTGTACAGGCTTAGATGGAGTAAGGTGATGTATGTCATTTGTGCTATGTCACACTACTTCGTCCTGTGCTTGGAAAGGATGTCTTCCGTAGCATGATGTCAAACCTTTCTAACCATAAACATCCTCTTCACAAACGGACTCCGTTGAAAGCTCTCCGCCTCAGCCACTGTGGGATCAACGCCCCCCTTCGCAGCCGCCGCAGCATTCTCTTCATCCTCGCCAATCTTCCACGTCCTCACCATCCACAGACAAACCGCAGCGCCGATGTACATCCACCCCGTGAAGAGGATGGCACCGGTATAGCTCCCTCCGTTGAACGCGACGATCTCGAGGCCGATGGGTTCGGAGACTGTTATCACGCGTCAGTACACACGTTCCCCCGTAAACTCATGCAATCATAGAAAAAGCCGGACAGAAAACCCAGGGCGAAAGAACAACGCAGACTCACAAGTAGTAGGCAGCACAAGCACCAACCAAGTAATACTCAACGCACTCGGCAAATCCCTCAACCCCATAACCTCCGTCGTAACCGGCGCAGCCGTCGCCCAAAACGTGCCCGCCACACATCCACCGACCAAACTAAAGAAAACCAGAACACCAAAGCTCTTCGCGAAGATCCAGATTAGCAGACAGAAGACTCCGACGAGGAATGTCATGCTGCCAGCCATGTTTAACCGGCCTATGGAGTCGGAGAAGTAGCCTATGGGGGGCCGGCCGAGGGCTTGCCCGAGGTTGAAGACGGCGCCGATGATGCTGCCTTGGTTGGCGGTTAGGCCGATTGTGCGGGCGTAGGAGGGGAGGGAGAAGAGGAGGACTATGTAGCCGAGCATGCTTAGGACGCCGAAGGCGAGGAGGCCGATGAATTGGGGTTTGCGGAAGAGGGTGTGGTCGAAGCTGACCTGGGGGTGTGTTAGTATGAGGGTTGGGATGATTGTGATGGAGCTCTCGAGCTGGGTGCTTGGGATGTGCGTTGGAAGATACAAGCCACCGTCGTCGCTGTATCCTCACTCGCATCCACATCCCCAACAACAAAGAATAGAAACAGCGAACATACCTGCCTACTCCCCACCTCCTTATTCCGATCCCGAATCACGCAAGCACAAACACTATTCACGACCCCCGCCACAACCGCCAGCGTGCGAAACGCCCACGGCAACCCGATATCCCTAATCATCGCCTGCGCCGCAAGACTATAAATCAGCCCGCCCAGCCCACTCCCCGCAGCACAACACCCATTCGCCAGACTACGGTGCGTGGTAAACCATTGCGCTGCAATCCCCACGGACCCCACGAAGAGAAAGCCCATTCCCCATCCGAAACACACGCCTTGGGACAGGAAAAGGTGCCAGATAGACGATGCAAAGGACGCGCCGATGAAGGACACGGTTTCGAAGAACACGCCGATGAAAAGGGTGGTTCGCGTGCCGAAGCGCCGGGTTGTGTATGTGGCTACGGGCGAGACGATGAGGGCTTGGGAGATGGAGAGGCCGCCGATGAAGGCGTATTGGAGGGGTGTTGCGCCCGGGAAAGTGGAGGTAGAGAGGTAGTGCGCGAGGAAGACGGCGTAGGCGGAGTTTAAGCCCCAGGTGTGGCCGTTTATGGTTGCGACGGCGGCGACGCAGATCCAGCCGTAGCCGCCGTTGGGGGGGACGTCGACTGGGTGGGTATCCGGGGGAGAGGTCGTTTTGTTTGGTTTTGATGCTTGGGGTGGTTGATGGGTTGGCGAGGTTTCTGGCATGGATTGTGGAGTGTTGGTTGTGTGGGTTTCGAGGTCCGGTTGCGGGTTTGCAATAGTCATGCTCTTTTCCGATGTTGACATGTCGTTTCTCAGCTGTCCATTGACTCCCTCCTCTTTCTCCCGTTGCTGCGGTGCTTTCATCTCCATCACGCGCGTTTGCCAAATCCTCTTCGTCTTCGTTTGCCGTTTCTCTTCGTCTTTGCCTTCTCCCGGGAATACGGTATCACACAGCACAATCCTTCCCAATCTTACAATCCCGCTCTTCCCAATCTCTTGAAACCAGTGAAAAACAATCACCTACACACTTCTGCGCACCAAGACACACACAGATTCCAGCTCGCAAACACGCGCGAACATGTTAGGAGTCATGTTTGCGCCTCCCTCGGTTGAAGAGTAAGGAAGCAAGCAAAAAAAGTGGAGGTCGACATGTCCTACGCCCTTGTCCGGAAATAAACTCATAACCCGAACTTCTTACGTTAAACCCTGCCTCTTCCGGTTAAAGCAGAGACGGAACCATGCCGCTCGGCTAGACTTATTGATGATGATGCGGATGTCGCCTGTCGGCACTGCAAGGTGAGAAGAATCATGCATGCTCATAATGACTCTTGATTCCGGTTGTACCGATGGCTTACGCATTGCATACAGAATGTTTAATGTTGTTTGATTTATTGATATTTCTACAAAGGAGAGGAAAATGTCCAAAACGCTATTCTAGCAATCTAAGCCAAGAGGTATCATCATTCGTCAACGCATTCCTGTATCCATCTACCGCGACTCGCACTGAGCCATGAACCTGTACATGCCTTCAACACCCTGATATTCCAACGGGGTATGCATGTCCATCTCATCAGCCTCGCTAGTATGCAAGCTATCGTATCCTGAAGGCGACGAAGAAGATAACCACGGGTTTGGCTCAGTTTCAAAGTCGTCTAGCTGGTCGTAGCTTTGTTCCGAATGGGTCGAGAAATCTTCTGAAGCCGCGAGTGATGGCGAGAGCATGTGCGTCCAGTCGATGTTCGGTTGTACGTGTTGGCGCTCGTTAACGGGCTTATCGTAGAATGAGCATTCAGAGGGTGTTTGGCTAGGTGCGAAGGGGAAGAGTAGCGCGATGTCTGTGCCGACGAAAGAGTCAAAGTCCGCGTCCTGATGAACTGCGCCTCTGGAGACCTCGAAGTCGTTGCATATCGTCTCCACTGTTTGCGCATCGCAGCCAGGGAAGTGGACTTTGAGAACCGAGTATTCATACGAGATCGGAAGATCGCCTAGTGCCGCCAGTCGTTGCAGATCGTTCAAAACGGCTGCAAGCTCCTTGACGGCCCTTGAGAAATCGACGGAAAGGACATCGAGGAGACCCTCGCTGTTCAGTGTCTCCTTCTCCTGTGCGAACGAGGTGAAGCCCTTGACGGCCTTCAGGGGAGTAAGAGCGGTGACGGTGGGGTTGACGTTGAAGCTGATGTAGGATCCAGGGGTGGCCTTGGGAACCTTGTTCAGCGTACGGTTGACCTGGTCTTGCAGCGCGGACACAGTCTTGAAGCGCTTCTCGCCGTTGTGAGGGTTGACGCCATCAAACTGGGCCTTCTGTCCACCGACGAGGAACGCTCGCACAGCCTGGGAGACGTTGTTGATGACTTGGGCTGGCGATGCGGGTCCATGCGAAAAGTAACGCGCGCCTCCGGCCCTGCCAGAGCCCCAGCCGTAGCCTCCTGCGGTTCGTCCAAATGCGCCACCGGTAAGGTTCGGGCGAAGGGTCGATGCGAAGGGTGCGCGGCCAGCCTGGGCGTTGACGATGCTTCCAATGCGTGACTTGGGGAAGGAGGCCTTGTCATACTTCACGCCCGAGTTGCGAGCTGCAGAGGTGGTGAAGCGACGGACGGCGGCGCTAATCTGGCTGTGGGTGGTGTACCATCGGCCCTTGCTCTGCTTGAGGTAGGCAATGCGGTGAAGAGGGTGCTTTGGGGCATTTCGAGCGAGGATAGGTTGTAGTACTGCATCGGCAGGTCGTGCGGATTCTGGTAGTTGTTTCTGTACGAGTTTCGCAGCATGCTTCCAGGCAGCCCTTCGTCTGTCAGTACGCGACCTTGGCGAATAGTGTTGCGAACTTACTTGAACGCTCTCGCGTTCTTGGCCACCGAATTATACAGATGCACCACGGCAGGTGCCATGATGGTTGTGTGTTCCAAGAGAGGAGAGAGTGGTGATGCGTCGAACTGTGGGGAAGGCGACGTTAATGAGGCGCAGGGTCAATGTCGCCACCGATCGGCACCATTGGTCTGGAACGCCGAACAATGACGACGATCACATGCCAACTCACTCACCGCACCCTGGCTTTCGTTTCAAGTGAAGTGAAGCCTGATCTTCTCCGCCTGTAAACTACCGCTGCAAGTTCCAAACATCGTTTGCTTGATAGCGCAGTGATTTAGTTATGTTGCGCTGCTGTTGCCTGGCGGAGTGTGCCCGGATGCGAATCTCGTGAGGGATGGAACGGCAGCGACTGTAGTAAAGTACCGGAATCGGAGTAGCAGCCATGCGACTCGACACCAGTAACCACTTCACGATACATGAGCGTATCATCCTGCGACACCTGGAGGCTCAAGGTAAGGTTTCACTATACGGGTCTGAGCTCAATACCAGGAACAGAAGGTATTCATTTTCGTACTTTTACAAAGCAAAAGCCGCATCCGCAGACCTGACATCCGCTTATGTACTTTGCTTCACGGAAAACAAAACTCCCAAGCAACCACATCCACCTGTAACTAAAGGAAGAACATTGTTACCATATATGTCTGAGGGGAGAGAAAGCTGCCATCGAGTTTTGTATGCTGAGTCGGATGAACATGCAAAAGGTAGACACACACACACAAAAACGCCAGCTTTCAATGCTACGAGGCCCCTAGATCCAGGAAAAAGAGGGGAAAAGCCAGATATTCCTGAGAAGGGTATTTCGTATTGTGGGATTGGTAATTCGTGTGAACATTAAAGGAAAAGGTTTCCGAGACGCGAGGGCATTCTATCGAAGGAGGAAAAAACAGTTGGTCGGCCGCCGACCGGGTAGAAAACGCCAGAACATGAACTTTTTGTCAATGTATACACAGTCCGAAAACTCGCAAGGGGAAGATGAGAAGCAACAAGACCGAAGACCGGGACGAAGACATGCATAAACCTTGGCTCATACGACAGAGTTGAGACAGCACCCTGGAAGCATCATGGCGGTGTCAACAGAGCCAAGGTATCCGCATCAAGCAGATCATCAATACGCTGTCGGCTCCGAGGGTCCATGCTGCCGCTGCGATAAACTGCTTTCAGCTGATCGAAAGCTGGATGTCGCTCGTCTTCGGTCCTGATAAGTTCAACAAAGTCTGAAGCTACCCGCTGCCGAATCACGCTCTGTGGCGAAAGCAAAGACTCGCCGTAAAATTTGGTAAGATTGGAAATGCCAGTATCCGTCCTCCGGTGGGCGGCGTCTTCGAAAGCCAAATGGCGGAACTCGTCATACATTGATTGATTGAAATTCCGAATCAAGAAATGCGACCAGAATTGGTAAAGAACGTTCATGTCGTAAGGGGTTGTGCCGATGGGTGCGTTGGAACGCTGATGAAGAGCTTTGGATCGAAGGTGAAAATACGATTCATGCGATGAATCAGAAGGGATCGTGTGAACTGGGCTGTGGTGATCTTTGACCCAATAGAGGCGAACAGGGGCGATTGGAGAAGTCGATCGAAACGGGTCGGTGTCGAGTTGTGGGTGATTAGGATGGCTCTCAGGGCTACTATCGACGTGATTAGCGCATAGGTTCAGCTCCTCTGAAACAGCATCTTACCCATCAGACATTCCGGCACCGTTGACCTTCAATTGGCAGGTGATAGACTTCTCCGGCTCATCTGGCACGCCATGTTTACTATCGATGGAGCCATTAGAAAACGTTCGGGAAACGGAAGTAGGCAACGACATTTGCGATGGGGGTTGCTTGCGCATGACGACTGTCAAACTGTCGAGTTGCAAGTCGGAAAAAGAATCAGGAATATCTCCACTCACAGCCTTTGTCGAGCTCTCGATTGGGTGACCATTCGAGACGGCCGCGTTCACTTCTTCGGCAGCCACCCCATTCGTCTCCGCCGGCACTGAACCGGCATCCTGGGCAACGGGATGGAAACCGTTCATTTGGGGATACGCGCCCTCGTTACCGAACGGGCTGAATGCTGGGGACATGGCCGACCACTGAGGGGGGTTGGATGGATCAAAGCCTGCAGGGCGAGAGACCTGAGGCTGGTTCAGCTCTTTTGGTCCCTCGTTCTGTGCAGACGGATCACGCTCGGCCATGTCAAGAACCCACTGCTGCCAGCCTTCCTTGCGACGTAGTCGGTCCTGGCCGTTCTCGCTGGTGCGGTACTCGATTGTGGCAGACTGTTGGCAGACGAGCCTGATCATGTCGATATCAGGAGACAGGCTCTTGATGCGGTTGAAACCGGCGATGAATTCAAGAGCAACGAATCCCTGAGAGTCCATGTGGCGACGTAGGTATAAGTCCTTGATCAAATTATCAACAGAGAAGTAGTACTCCCTAGTAATCTATTAGCATGTTTCTTGTGACGGGCGGATAAAAAGCATACACTTGGGTCGTGATCATAGCGAAGACCGAGTACTGATCGACGCCGTATGGGCTGTACGGTAATCCAGCGCTCATGGGCGCAGGCATTCCATAAGGATACATCTCATGCGACGTTTGAATAGGAGCTGGGTACCCGGGCTGGAACGGTGGATACCTGTATGGATCGGTGGTCAATGACTGTGAACGGTGGTTGTTGCGACCGAATTTGCCATGAGGCGCGGGGAAGAAGCTATTGCTCTCAGGTACAAAGGTCGTGGGCGATCGTGGGCCCAAGGGAAAGCTCGACGTGGAGTGCCCGTTGGTGAAATGGTGTCCATTGGTGTAGTTACCACGGCCGCCACGACCTCCGCGGCCACGTTCGCGGCCGTTAGAGAACGAACTAAAGCGCTTGGAA